ACTGTTGTAACGGGGCAGCCGCGGTGCGGCGTATTCTCCCGTACGCGCTGTGGGATTCACAAAGCATCAGAAGGCAGAAAAGTGCACGCGAGCGAAAGTGGCACGTCACTGCATTGAAACTTCATCGGTTGGATGCCTATTGACGATTCAAAGGCATTAGGATGTGACCCCATTTTCCAGGTTTAGTTTAGCTTAACATAGATTAAGCACGATAACTTCCCGCAAGCCGTAGGTACATTGCTAAATGTCTTCACCAGTTTGACAGTGACCTTGCGCCTGTTTTCCTCCTTTTCTTTTTTTTTCCTTCTCTCTTTTGTCCTTTCCTTCTTTCGATCTTCCTAAGAGGTCTTTGACCTGTGAAATGTGCAGGTTTTATTAATTCTTGTTGCTGAGGAGAACCTGAAAAACTTGGGTCAGAGCTAGTCGCAATACAACTCGAGCTTGCGAAGGAGTGTCAAAGATTTCTCATTTATCAGCGATTTGGAATGTCATTTTTTACAATGAATTTTCAGATATAACACTTTCGCTCGCACAGTTCCAGCCGAAACTGACATCGTAAAGGCTTTTATCGCGCTATGTCGAGAGCATAACTGGAAGAAGTTCACAATTATCTATGAGGAACATCCAGCGCATGAAGAATTGTATCAAGCACTTCGGGTTAGCCTGTCTTTTACTCAGTTCTAATTTTCGCCTCTGTCCTGCTACCTATACGGCAAAGATATTTTGGGATTTGCTGGAGAACGACTTGGTTGTGGAATGAGGTTGTTTTGATGGGATTCATGAAAAATATGCCGTTGCTCATAAAATAGTAATGTAATTTTCTTCATGTGTTTGCGTGTAAGTTTCTAATGGCTATGAAATAGAAAGGGGCTACGCAAACAAATTTAACGTAANTGTTTCAGCAAGCAATTGACGTCGAAAATGCGCGTATGGAATTGGATGAAATACGGTATTCTGTGCAGAACGTGTCAAAAGTGATCCGCTTTAGCGAGGTGCAATCGGAGAAGCTCATCGATAGTGTTGTGGAACAGACAAAGGACATTACGAGATGTGAGCCAACTGTTTATGTGAAGTAGGGAAAGATGTAGAAAAGATCGAGTTACTATTTAATATCTGTTGTTTAAGTATACGTCACATTTGGTAATGTGCGATTGTTTCGAAAAATTCTCATGTCAATGGGCAAGCTGGGTCTTACGGACTCGCAGCAATATCTTCTGATCTACCTCGATGCCGACTACAATTGGCTCAATGTCTACCATGCGATGAATAATCACTTTTTCCGCAGTAAGTAATTCTTTGTAGCTATTTGTCGCTAGGATTATTTTACTTACTTTGGTTTTCGTATTCAATTTCTTCGTAGTGCCAATTGATCGATAGAAGAAGCCATCTATATCGGGTGCTCAGGGTTGACCAGGGCTCGGATTAGGATCATATGACTAACTGCATCCCTTCTAAAATTCCCTTCTAAAAAGTTTCTCTATTTCTTGAATCTCGTTTCACTAATCGCATTTTGGATTTCCCTAGAATAGGCGATATTAAAAAGCTCATGTTCGTTGTTATGTAGCCTTCCTTAAACAATCTCGTAAGGGACTTTCCCTGCTTTATTAAGTGCAGTCTCGCGTGGCAATACATCTGGGATCAAGGGAAATTCGACTCGCGCATTTTCTTGTCATCGAGAAATTTGTTTAGTTTAAAGACCGGGAAGTGCGTCTGGAAACCAACTCGATTGACTTACTCAAAAAACACTTTGGAACCAATTACTGTCAGAATTAATTAGCTCGGAAACCCCTGCCTTTGCTACACTCTTATTGTAAGAAATTCATGTCAAAGTAATTTCGATGAAAAGTGCTGCAATTATTGTGCTATACAGCAGTCCTTAGTTATTTTTACACAACTTTTAATCTTGGGGTTATCCATTTTAGTTACTAAACGCAATCTATGGGAAAGTTGAGCAAAATATTTTTTACTCTCTTGTTTGCTTGGATAACTTTAAGTCTTGGAGGTCTGTTTGTCTGTTTCCAAATCTCATTGCCAGAATTTGTACATTTTGATTTCGAAAATTGGCTGTACATTAGGACATTCAAATGCCTAAGAATGTTAATTTACGTAATTCACGCCGCCCGAAAGTTCACCACTGATATTTGCCATTCCTTTTCCCAGAAAAAAATTCTGATTTATACAACACCGTCAAAATGCGTAAGTACAGAAGATCAATTTTTTCCGTAATTTGATACAGAATGATCTAGCACAATTAAGATACGATGATTGATCTACAATCTTCGTGGGATGTCACCAACTCGTCGGATCATCGAATCATTGGTTATTCACGTGCTGCGTTGGCAATAATCCCAACTCCAGTAGAGCTTAACTCAGAGAGGTACGTTGATAAGCTCCCAGTCAGACTGCAAACTCATTTTTCTTGGTCATCCGTGGCTCCATCTTTATATTCAGGTTCAAAACATTTTGGGAGCAAGCAGTGAAAGACCTTGCCAATTTTGGTATCACGAAGCATGAGCACACGTGGTCGATCAAGGTAGGGCTGATGCTTCTCGATATTTTTTTAATTAATTTGACTCATTTGATATTAGCTCGATTTTTCCTGTAGAGTATCTTCGTTTTTTGATAAAGTGAACAAATGATGATAGAGTGGAGTAGTCCATTGACAGCTTTTCAGTGATGGGTAAACTTGCATGTTGTTTGTGCTATTTTCAAGCAGTTAAATTGCATGAGTGCTCATAGGCGAAAAGCGATTTTCGCAGCCGCACGATTGCGCGCTCTTTTCTTCATTGAGTGAGTGACTCAGCGCGAGTCCTAAAAAAGTCCTTATTGTCCTAAAAAATTGTTTTTGTCTGTAATAGCAGGCGAAGAAAGTTTTCGCCTCCATTTTATCAGAAGTTGGTAGATCTGGTCATGAACATGGCCTTCACTTTACGTAGACGCAGAGAAGGGGGCACCGCAAGTTACATGAAATATTTGCTTTGGCGACATTCTGTTATTGTTGTGGGAATCGAGGTTTATGTCTATACAGTTTCAAGTCAGGTTTCGTCGCACATCTCTCACTCGCCTGTGAAGTGACCCCGCTTGATTGGTTGGTTGCTGACCTTTCTGCCAAACTAGACTCAGCTGAACCAATACCCAATGCGCTAGTTAATAAATTTCTTGCATTTCGAAATACGAGAACTAAAATTCACTAAAACAAAAACTCAGCTTTGTGAATGTAAAAGTAATTATGAATTAGGAGAAGAAAATGTATAGCAGTGTATACTACTCACGTTACCAACTCTCCTGCTACAAACGATGAGCTGCCTTGCAATTTTTCAAAGTGTTGCAAAAAGCACGTAATTCACTTACAAGGCCATCTAGTCTTGGAGTATGGGAGATGATCTCGTCTTTTTACGTTCTGTGCTGTTATTGCATATGCGCAATTGTATTAGTAGTGGTAGCAGAGCTTCCTACTCGTAGAATCGGTATTAACTCAATTGAGTCAGGCAGAGAAGTCAGCGACCACCCAAATAAGAGAGGTCATTCCACAGGCGAGCGAGTGTAGGTGCTAAAAGTTCAATGAACCTAATTTAAAACCAATTTCCCTCTTCTCAAATCGGGATGTGCCGTAGTCGTCGCCTCGTCAAAAACTGCAAATGGAAGCAAGGCTTATAGCTCTGAATTTTCAAAAAGAAGTTTCCCATCTCATTCGTGAGCTCAAAAAATGGAGGCAGAGCTGATCGCGCTTAATCTCTTATTGTCTTGTTATAGACGTAAAGAACTTTTTTCTCATCAGAGCGGGAGAGGCATACATACTTATGAGTTACAAATTAAAGTAGAGCTCCTAATTCGACACGGATAGAAATTGCTCAATACAGATTCCAGTTGGAATTTAGACGGTTCCAACTGAAATCTGTATTGAGCAGCAATCTAAATACTGGAAGTAAGCAACCGCTATTAGGCATCTGCTGTCTTCCATTTGTCTTTTGTCATAACTCTTGTATTAATACCAATGCTGGCGCCTGTGTTGTAGAAATGAGCAAGCTCTTCCGCTTTTATTCTAACCTTTGTTCCTCGTTCTAAGTGCACATTGACAGTGAGCAAAGGTGTTGGCAATAAGTCATAGACATAAGCAGAAATAAGCATTTCAAATAACATTTCCAATATTCCTGTTCTTGATTCCAACGATATATCTTTACTCTCATTTCCCACTAACCCCAAACCACTGATGGGTCTCACTCAGGGGAAGGTGGAGACGTGGTTTGTCCGGTGAAGAGGCGAAGCGAGCCATTTTAAGTCTGTCTGGTTATTTTGTCCTTTTGATGTGTTTGCTCATTGTTGCTTTTATGCTCCATTGACTTCAATTTGTTCCACTTCACTTATAGGGAGAAAGGAAGTCTGAAAAGATCAATAAAAAGTGGTCCTTTTAAGGTGAACCGATTTGCATGCTATCTGTACGATGCGGTGTACCTGTATGCACGGGCACTACACGAATTAATAGAAGAGACGACAGAAAGGCAGGCTCACGGCTACGATCCGACGAGAGATGGAGCAGCAATTATAAAGAAAGTGTTGAATCGGAAGTATTCGAGTGAGTGTTTAAGATAAGACAAGACCAATTCCGAAATCAGTGGGGCGACATTTAAAAGTGAATATCAAAACCACTCTATCTGAAAGATCTATTCTTGGCAGGTTTTACAGAATGCGTTGTCAGAGGGTTCTAAAAACTCCCTCTCTGGTGGTTTTTCAGGGTTGATTGCGCCAGCTGTGAAAAAGGGACTATTTTGACACCTAATCCTGACATTCTGCAGTGCATGCTTCATATTGTAAAGATAGGGTGAACAACTATGAGCGTTCTTAAAGGCAGGCTTGGACACGTATGCTTGAGTGTTCTTTTGCGTTACCCTTTGGTATGCAGTAGGGAGCCGATTGTTCTCCGGTTAAGGCCTGCTATCTTAATTTGTTTCATAATATGGGGAAAGGCTCGAAGTTTTGACTTAGTTGGGATGTCAGGACTGCTGTCTACAAATATCATTTTGGAAAGCGTGGTGGGGTATACAGGGTGACGCACAAGAAGTGTGACGGGCAATAAAAAAATCAACTTATGGGCTTCTGGGCTGGAGGAAGCGGTGATCGCTTGGGCGGAAAGAACGCGATGAACGTCAGCTGAATCTTCCACAGGATTGGGCACCAGACCACCGCGCAAGGAAGATGCTGCAATGTTGTGAAACCACGCTTCCAGGTTCTTTGGGCGAAGCAGTTTTGACCTTCAAATTCCCCGATCTCAATCCTTTGGATTTTGGTGTATGGTCAATTCTGGAGCAAAAAGCCTGCGCTTTCAAAC